AATGTGACAAGCAGATGTTGCACGCAAAACCGATGATGATGAACGGAGTCATCAGTCCTAAGTGCTGGGCCTAAAGGAGAGAGTTATTACTGGGATGGAGAGAAGGGAAAAGTATGTGAAAGAGAAAGAAGGGAGGCATCAGCAGTAGTCTGTTTTCGCCTACCCGTCCTGCTGTATTCAGCGAGTAAGGCGACCCGGCCGATGGCGGTACACGATGGTTTACGTGGCATGAGTTAATTTGTATATGTGCAGTTCACGGATGTATGTGGGATAAGATACTGTTAGCGCGCCCACCAGTAGACAGGAGGACGATAGGGATGCTCACTCAAAGCGTTTGGCTCAAAAGCCTAATCGCAAGGCAGCTGTTTTGGCGAAAAAAGCAAAGCACTAGCAACCATGTCTGAGAGACTGTGAGTTGCCGTGGCACTCCCAGCGTAGCTCAGTGGGTCGCTGAGATGCGCATACCGTCACACCATGGTAAGGTCAAGTCTCTTCGTGACGGTAGTCAAAACCTTTCCTGAATTAATTTGAATATACTGAACTAATGTGAGCTATCTATCGTCACCAGCTCATTTTCAGTCTTGCTTCTTTCAGATTAACAAGCCTACACGTGGATTAGCCATTGCACAGTACATTCTGCTGAAGAATGTCACGAAAATTATCAATTTCAGTTCACTCCTATTCTGATCTCCCTTTGGTGCCAACCAGGACAAACCTTATGGCCAGGGTCCTCAAATGCTTCCTGAGGAAAACCGAGATCTACTAACTTGACCGAGGGTTAAACTATTCATAAATGCTAATAGTTACAAGTTCTAAAGGAAACCTATAAGGAAAACAACTATAATGTTTTCTATACAAACATGGCTTTTTCTCTAATAATCTCACTACCGAAAGAAGACTACATCTCCAACAGCATTAATGTTACTTCGGCCCTCTTAAATTTGCTTTATTTCGTCCTAATGCATTCGTGGCGCAAAATCTCTTCTTGAGAAAGACTGGAATGGAAGATTTTCAATAGTGGGCTACATGGGACTGAGGCCAATTCAATATTCGAGTAAGTCGCGAAGAGAAGACCGTTTTCAAAGAACATGGTGGTTTTGTTGTCGATGGCGCAAAACTGTTACAGGTCTTAGCGAATATACACTCATTTGCAAACTAATTTGGCTCTTTCGGGAGACTCACCTGGAACCCAGCTGAATCACTTGTTTTTGATGTTCTCAGGCAACTGCACGTGATGCACCAGGCCGCCTCATGTTTCAGTCGCTATGATATTTGAAATATCGCGATACATGTATATCTTTGTAATGTACTACTCATAAGGTTGCTGAAAATCCATCGAAAATCCATCCATTGCCTGAGAACATCACAAACAAGAGATTCAGCTGGGTTCCAGGTGAACCAAATTAGTTTGCAAATGAGTGTGTATTCGCTAATTTCGTGCAATTTGGTTGTAAGTAGAACATAAGGTTGACGGAACCCCGGGGACTGCGCCTACCTGATGAGCCCCAAGAAGGGCGAAACCGGTTGTGGGCTGTCGATGGATTTTCAACAACCTTATGAGTAGTACATTACAAACATGTTATAGGTCTTATTATGTCCAGATCACCTGCATTGAGTTTTACGAAACATTTTAAGTGACAATTCTTCCTAGAAGATATCGCGTTTCAGTGGGCGTCACTTCTGTTAGTTAAATTAGGTTGGCTCAGCATGATGTCTTATTCGAACCTAGCAAATGTACAATCGTCTGGTTTTAGAGTTATCATCACACGTTATTTTCATGATTTACAATTTTGTTAGTCCATGAGTTTTGTGAAGCAGGGTACCACTGACATAATCCTTGCGAAATTAAGTATGTGCTGTTAGTGCTGCTGTGTCAGACAGACAAATTGCTGAGTTTTTCTTCCCCAACACACTACTATCTCTTTTGCATTTTTCACTTGTTTGTGCTTCTTTGGGTCGCAAGCTGGCTTAATTCGGAAAATTTTCGGAATTTCTGAACTATTCATGGACAGCGTAGAGCCCTCTATTGCATAAGCAGCTGTCTTTTTTGATGGGATGGGCTAACTAAAAAACAATAAATCCCACTTTCTTCAGAGAGTTTGTAACCCTGGAACAATGCGGTTGCATTCCCTTAAGATATTATCTTTTCTCAGATAAAGGAGATAATGGCGTTCTTCAAACCCTTGGGCGCAATGATCATAGGTTGTTATAACACGGAACCCAAAATCACACACCAAACAAATCAACTCTGAAAAGCACGCATTTCAAATATGTGAACTTATCAACTCGCCAGACAGACCCATATAACACATAACCCCCTCCTTGGAAAACATCTTGAGTAAATGGCATCATTCAGAAGAGGCCACTTCTGATGGGTCTTCCAAAACTGCTTTGGGTGGCAGTGGCAGTGCACCAAAGCTATCGACTTCCAGAAAAAAACTAACCCTATTAATTTGCTTCTCTGTGGTGGAAAGACTATACAAAACCATACGACGTTTCAACGAAATGATTTCCAGGTTTGTGCCATTCGAAATCCAGAGGGGTAGTAGTGTGTGGATAAAAAATCGAAAAGTACTTGCTCACATCTCAGATACCGGGTTTTACAAAAATTGTTGATTTCGGTCTTTTGTTTTGCTTTTTCTACATGTATTCGGACCCATAGCTTCTGTAGTGATAAACTATGGCTTAAGTGAAACGACTCAGAACTAACGAAATAGACCACTAATTAAGTTGCGAATATACCTGAAAAGAAGATTTGGCAAATTTCATCCCAATATACCCTAATTCGCATCAGTTTCATCCTAAATGTTGTGCTTCTATTAGGTGTCAATTCCACTGAAGTTTTCAAGTTCAACCACAAGCGCCTCCCACCAGGCAAGAAGCAGAATTTTACAGTGAACTTTCAAGGTTGATCTTCACTGATGATGATGACGAAGAGAGCAGTGGACCCCGATTTTTCATACCCCTACTATTTTTCATTGGTAGTGAAGCTTTCAGTGTACACCCGCAACCAAAGTGATCGGGCACAATATTATAGCTCTGCTTGCGTACCTACGGGTACCTACGTCAATTTTATGATGTCAAGTTTGATATGTTGGAAAGAAATATTTAATGTGACTCTGATGTCATTTTAGCTAGCAGTTGTCCGCTTTTGACTTCTGAATAGCGTACTCTCACATTTTCTCTCAATCTTGGTATTCGTGGACGACAGTGGTCTTTCTCGTTCTACAGGACTTACAAGCAGAGAGCCCCGTTTTCGTGCATCGCGGAATTTCCTCGAATTCTGTGATGACCTCAAGTGATAAAGTGCAATTAAGCGATACGACAAAGAGGCATGCGTTAACTTGTTATAACATGTAGTTTCAGCGCATAATAAATACATTTTGCTGTTTTGATCCCCACTGAGCCGAAAAATAACGTGATCTATATACAAGTGTTCGGAGAAAGCCTCCACCGATAGAGCAACCTGATTGACGTGCTAAAATCCTTCATAGGACTGCGGCTAGTGAAAAGTCCCAACAACAACCAGCTTAGTCATTCGGTGAAAGTACATATGTCTTTTCAGGAGGTGAGAGTGTGGGGAGCATGTCCGGTTTGACAAGGGGGAAAAACAGGAGAAAGCGATCAAGTGAAAAGTACGAACCAGCTGTTCTTGATCACGGCATACAGGTTTCATTATTTCAGATTCCCCCATTGTTTTGGTGGCTCATCTGTTACAACTCTGTTACAACTCATCTATTACAACTGCAAATCTTTACGAATGAACGATATCAGTCTTCAAGTAAACACTACGCCAAATATTTCACTGAAGGATTGCAATTTATCCAGCATACAGTTGGAGAGAGCTAGCAAATTCAGGTTGTGAACTTACCATGCGAAGACAATATTGAGCGCCATCTTCTAGAAATTATTATGCAGATGAAATCTGACAATACCAAAATGAAGCTGTTTATCAGGTTAAAATCTGCAGTAAAATAGTATGATCTATAGATCTACCCCTTTGGCAGGCAAAAACTGGATCGCAAACGAACCTCACGTTTCCAATTTCCTCAGAGGTCTTCATAAGCAGTTCTTGCACTAACGGCCTAAGATGCCGAAGAAGCTGTTGTCTTGCCAGTCAGAGAATAGTTCAGTTCAGCCCCAATATGCTTCAACCAGTAGTCAGAATGTTTACCACCAGAAAACTTTCAATCACAGAGCTACACCGCGTATGTGGACATACCGGTGTTACAGCGGTACTACTGATGGGGGAGACATACGAGTAGCATGTTTTCTCAGAAATCCGCATTGCGTCTCTTGAAAAGTAAGATCTATTACGGAATTTGTAGAGTCGCTTTGTAGCACTTGCTTGGAGATGAGCAACAGTCAATGAATATCCGGAAAAGTTGAGGAAGAAGCATTCAAAGAGAGGAAGGATACTCAGTTTTTGTAAACAAGATGCATGTGAGATTTTTGCTACCCTGTCCAATAGTCTGTACATGTTCAGTTGGCATTTTCTTATAAACAACTCCGAAGCAGAGGCATTCTTCCTTTCACCGGTAGAAAACAGGACCGCGTAATGATGAACACAAATAATCAACATCCTGGTGCATCAGAGAAATGGCATTAAATAGGCCTATCTGACGTGGCACTTTCTTGGCTGCCAGCAGCTTCACTTGGCAAACTAAACTCAAGGTGTTTTGTTTTCTTCACTGACCTGGGTGAGAGAATTACGCTTCGTATCCGGTGTCTCCTTATTTGTTAAATCCGAGGATGTGTTGCTGTGCAATGTACCAGTTACAAAATCGCGCGTGACTTTTGTGGGATTCTATGAGTTCACCAGAATGGAGATTAAGGAATTTAAAATGTCCGCAATGACCCTGTTGAGGATGACTAGCGAGGGAATGTGCAAATGGGATTTCGGAGCGATTTAATGTTTAACTTGTTGTCCATATGTCATAAGGAGAGTAAGACAGTCTTCAAAAGCGTATACTTTTTCCCCATTAAATATTTTCCCACTCTCAGAATGCAACTCCATTTACTTCTGTGTACTTTACCTGAGCTACTGTCGGCAAACAGTCATTATTCAGGCGGGTGAACAAATCTCGTATGCCGCCGCGGTCGGTAGCTTGAAACAGTAGCCTGTTTACTTTGTCCCCAGTGGTGCAGACGATATTCATATCCATACTGACTAGAAAAAACGTAAAAACATCAGACGTAAATTAATAAAGGTGACATGGACTTATATCATGTCTACGCGGCACAGACATAACTGTCTAAGTAGAACCGACGGTAATCTATCATCCGACACAACCTCAAGCAAGATTACCTCATTTATGTCATAAATGGCTGAAGCTATCTCATGTCTAGACCCCTGGAATTAGCCACTATATCCAGTTCAAAATAAACACTTTTTCTGTTGAAGTACTGTTCGCACGTGATGAAAGGCTTTTTATGGAAATTTCAACAGTTTCCATAGGCAAACATATAATTTCTACTCTCAGCTTATGAAACAATTTCATGTTTCATCCACTCGGTCAAATTTCTTTCGCTTGTTTACTAGCCGTGCACTGACTCGCCTCTCGATCATCGTGATTAACCACAGGCATCACCAAGTGGGGTGAATTTCCCGCTAACATGCTTTACTGCAGTACTGCTGTATTTGGAATCCGCAACACAGTAGTCCGATTTCTGGTTAATTTTATAATTTTTAATGACAAATTGATGCTAGGACGTTTTCGGGGAAGAAAGATACTTGAAAAAATATAAACCTGCTGGGGATAATTAAGACCCTGCGTCCTGGTGCAGATGAACATGAAAGAAGAAGATAAAGAAATCCGATGGATTCAGCGTTACAAACTCCGTAAATAAAACACATTAATTGGTGAAAATTGTTAATCACTCTATACTCAGTGTTGGCGTATTTTTAGTGATGTAGAATATTTTGATTCGTTTACGCCCCACGGCAACCGTGCACAAACCACTTCAAATGGAATTAGCAATGACAATACAGAAGCGGTTAAAAGCACTATTCATTGTTTAACTTGTAAATAAAATACAATTTTCCCATCCAAACAAGATATTGTTACTGTGTGACGAAATCTTCGGAGTGGAAGAATTCTACAGGATGCGGGAAGAACCAAACGCAGTTTGCGGCTGTGGATGACGATATTACTCACATTCACAAACGAGGAACACATCGTCCCATGGTTTTAGGATAAATTACCCAATGAGCGCAGCGAGGATAGTACTACTACTTCGTCCACTAGTTTCCGATATTGCGTTTGCTTGATCCTCATTACGCATGCAAGAAGTACCACAAAGTATAGACATTCAGTAGTGTCCATTAAATAAGATCACTTCGAAATACGGCACAGACCGAGTGACTTTTACTTTTCGTTTTTTATAAATGCACACTACCTCCTCTGTGATATAGTACGCTGTGCCAACTATACTGTTTGCTGCAATGTGTCGTCATTTTTACAGACACCCATTTTTATGTTTAAAAGGGAAACTCAAGTTTATTGCTAACTGAACAAGCACCGTCCCAAGCAAAGTATAGCACCGATTATCGCAATTAATTTTCCTAGCTTCCTCCATTTTAACGAATGAGCTATACTGATTCTGTGAAGTGCATCGTTGTTTTATAAAAATTGTTAATTTGACCTAGAGAGGTCCAATGGAAATTTAAACTGGACATGTCACCAACACCGTGCCGACCAGCTTGTCAGTGTGAGGTTTTGAATCTCGTATTTTATATCAGGATTTGTAGATCATTGATGTGGGTGCTCTCAAAACACGTAGTTTTGTACAATTCTGCGTCAAATCATACACACAAATTTGGTTAGGCGGGATTTTTTTGATAAAAAAAGTAAAGAGAGCCGCATTTTACGTGGCTCGCCACCGTTTTCCTAGCTGCTGGGAGCAAAAAGCAGCTTGGTCACTGCTTGCGGATGTTCGCCAAACGCAGCTAGATTTTGGCTTACTCAAATTAATTAAGTAGTAAAAATAATAATCTATTTCATGGCACTCGGAGAAGCATCATATCATTTATCCGTGATGATTCTCCCCAAATATGACATATTTCTTGAAATGGTTTTGTGCAGTGTGTTCACTTACCCAATAGATGATTTCACACAATGCTACGCGTTCCTATAATGCCAAAAGGTTTGTCCAACTGGAGGAATTTCCCAACGAAAGCATACATCAACTTATACGGTATAGATCAAACACAGTGATTCCTACGGAAGCCAAAGGGAACAGTGATGTTTTCGAGCACAACAGTAGAGTCAAATAAACAAAATGTAACACCTATTTGAGTGTTCTGCAGATACCAGTGAGTTCAAACTTAGTGTACTTACCCTGTGGCCTGTGGAACGATTGCCGATGTGTTGTGCACGGCGTGGGTGATTCAGGATGAAATTTTTTGTCATCGGTGATAATCTGAATGTAAAGTGATAGACGCCTAAAAACCTCAATTTGGGATGGCACTTTATGGAAATGCAGCTAGTTTTTTTTCACTAACGACAGGTGAGCCGACCCCCTTGATTTCCCCTAATCGGATGGAACGAATCCAAGCTGGTAGTTTTACGTGGCGCGTCAGTCGGGTGTAGAATAGTGCCACTAATGATATAACAGAAAACATTCGCTAAAACCACTCCACCCACGTACCACCGACGATGAAAAACGTCGAAAAACGTCTCCGTCCGTGTATGCTTATTGTTAGTCGCTCTTCCATAATTCATAGACTGATCATATACTAATTTGTCATTTTGTGATAACCCCTAAAAGTAGCATGCTTGCCATTCTATTGCCATCCCCGTGCCTTTAGTTTTGGTTGCTACCGAAAGTCTCTCCCATTTATTAAACACTGACAGAAGAAAGCCCCAGGCGAAGTGAGGCTTGAAATAGTTACGCCATTACGCCTACGCCCATTCTGTTTCTCTCTGTTAACTCCAAACTCAACCATACGATGGTCGTTGGCTTGTTCGCTGAGCTGGGCAATTTGGTTGCAAACGTTTCATCACCAATCGAGGTGACATCATCAGTGCGTAGTTGTGCGTAGCAGTGGGTTAGTGGTTGTGCGTTCAGTAGTGTTACGTGTGTGTTGATATACGGCGAGCTGAACCACCTCCTCGTGGTGCCGACCGGGTAGCCTGGACGTCTGTCTGGGTGAGCTAAGAGTTCAGCAACTCCAGGCAGGGCCAACCACCCCGTTTGGTTTCAATGTGCTGGTTACTTTCGACAGTGTGTACTACGAATCATCTGGCGCCTCCGCACCAGTTCCAACCAGTACACAGGAGAGACTCGTTGGGTTCACGTGTGAGGGATGTGGCAAGTGCTGCAAATCGAAAGCTGGCTTGGTAGCCCACCATCGAGTTCACGACAATGAAAGTGTTGGTACGAACACGGTTGCCCAATTGGCCTGCGCTGATTGTTCCCGCCTTTTTCCGACGAAGATTGGCCTGAGTCAACACCGCCGGCACGCACACCCCACCCAGCATAATGCGGATAGCCTTGGCCGAGTGAAGTATTCTGGTACCCGCTGGTCCCAGCAAGAGTCACAATCGCTCTTACGCCTGGCTAACAATTTATATCCACCTTATGGCACGCAAACCGAGCTGTTCGCAAGATTGGAGCAGTATTTTCCTGGTCGATCGGTTATTAGCATCAAAACCAGGTTAAGGGCGCTTAACTGGAAAGCACAACAGGACGAATCATCATCTGGTGAACCTGAGCAAACTATCGGTCAGACGACGACCTACGTATCAGAAGCCGATGACTACAGCGTCTGGTTTAAACAAACCCTGGATTGCACCGTGTCACTCTTGGAATCCCATGCTGACCGTTCGCTTGCTTCTGGCATTTGCCCGAGGGTTGCAGTCTGGCATCGTGACACCGGAGCAGGTCCTGTCGCTTCTGGACCTCCACGCCTCCAGGACATTTCCACACACCTAGAAAACTGTTT